GTGAATCCATCTGCTGGCATTTCGTACGTAGCTATCCATTTGATATTGAGGTTCCGATGCTCAACCTCCTGTCTTAACCAATGTGAGTGGACGTCAATATGCTTCAGCTTTGTAACTAGCTTTGGAGACTCCTTAAGTAAGATCCGTACGGTCTGCAAATTATCACAATTAAGTGAGTATTGCTCGTTTAGATCGAGTTTGATTGTGTTGAAGAAACGCTGCCACCAATAGAGCTGTTTCGCACTGTGGGACAAAGCTAGAAGCTCTGCCTCTGTTGTAGAGGTTGACACAGTCTTCTGCTTTGAGCAGCGCCAGTCTATTGCCCCTCCAAATAAGGTAAACAAATAACCCTCTGTGCTCTTTCTTGTTGATTTGCAGTCTGCGTACGAAGCGTCACTAGAGCATTGAAAGCGAGCCTCTTGAATATTAGGTCCAAACTGAAGAGCTAGGGTCTTAGTATCCTTAAGGTAGAGTAGAAGTCTGTCGACTGCAGCCATGTGGTCTGGGCCTGGATTGATGAGAAATTCATAGTTTCTGTGTCGTACGGGCTATATCAGGTCTCGTTACGACTGCTGCATAGTTTGCTGATCCTACTTTCTGTTGGTAAAGATGGATTTGTTGCTTATCTGCCTGACCGTCAAATTGGGTTAGGTTGTCTGTAACCATTGGCGTTCGGGTGGATCGAATAGAGGCTACTCCATACGTAGTTGTGATCTTGTCGATATAGGAGTCCTGGCACAGCCATAGGGCTTTCTGGGTGCGGTCCCTCACAATTCTTATGCCTAAGAACCATTGAAGTTCTCCTATTTCTCGAAACTCATACGCTTCCATCAGTCTCGTACGGAACTGTGTTGCCTCCATTTTGTGGCTAGGATGGCTAAGGATGCAAATATCGTCAACATAGAAGAAGACAATAATCTTTGAAGATACAAAGAGGCACTGTGCTTCTGGGACCTGTACGAGGCCTAGAGCCTTGAGTGTCTCTGAGAAGTCTCGAAACCAGAGTAAGGGGGACCTTCGAAGTCCATAGAGTGCCCTGTTAAGTTTCCAGCATTTTCCTTGCTCCTGGTAGCCGTCTGCACACCGTACGTAGACCTCCTCGTCAATACGGCTGTTTGTGAATGCGTTTATAGCATCTAATTGTTGTGTATCCAAATCAAAGTAGGCTGTGATTGCCATTAAGGCTCGGAAGGTTTTCGAAGCAAGCGTAGCTGCGTACGTCTCATCATGGATAGAATAGCGTTGTAGGTCGCCTCTTACAACAAGTCTAGCCTTATATTTAAGAAGGTAGCCATTGTCATTGAATTTGTATGTGAAAACCCACATAAGGGGTATCACAAAGTTCCGTACGGAGCTGTCGTTGACAGATGTGAACGTTCCTTGCTTTCGAAGGTCTTCTATTTCCTTTGCAGCTGCAGCTTGGAATCCTATTCGATGTGGATGAGTTTGGAGTTGATTCCAGAACTTTGGAGCAGCTGGTAGGTCCGTACGGTGTATGCTCTGTCGATTAAACTCCGTTCCTACTAGGAAAGCTTGGTGTAAGCTTAGCTTTGCTTCTGGTATCGCTATTGTAGCTAGGTAGACGTCGTGTCTTTGTACAGTGTTCTCAGGGCATTCCGGTGTCATTTCAGGCGTTTGAAGTTGTTCCTGTAGCTCTGTAGCTCCGTGGTCCTTCTGAGTAGGCGGCTCTTCTTGAGGAGAGGAGGTGTTTGTTGCCTCTGATTTGTACGGAATTGTTGTCCCGTTCTGAGGCTGTTGTTCCCCCTCAAACTCGTCATCTTCTTGATCTTGAATATCTGGTATTTCAATGACCTGAACTGTCTTTTCGAGCTCTGTTTGGACAAGCTGAGCCTCATACGAAGGGTCATAAGCCTTTGTCTCATCAAAGGTAACGTCTCTTGTAACTATAACCCTTTTAAGTTGCGGAACCCAAATGCGGAATATGTTTGTAGAGTTATAGCCAACTAGGTAGCCTATTTGGGCGTTCCTCTGTATCCTCTCAAGCTTTGGCTTGTTTAGAATAAGGGCATAGGCTCTACAGCCATAAGCGCGAATATGAGAGAGTAATGGCTTAAGTAGCTCTGGCTTTTGGCTCTCTGTAGGTAAGGACTGGAGTAGAAGTCCGTACGGGGTCTCATCGTTTATGACTGACGATGGTGAGTGGTTTATGAGGTACCCTGCTGTTTTGAAAATCTCAGGCCACATTCCTTCTGGTAAGTTGGCTGATTCTTTAAGTGCGCATGATCGTGTGATTATCGTACGGCCTGACCTCTCTATTCCTCCATTCGGCTCTGCTGTATAGGGTGGAGAGATGTGGATTTCATATCCTTCGTCCTTAATCCAACCCTCCCATTCATTTCCAAGTGAGGCTTCACCATCTAGGTGTAATATGCGGATTTGGAACCCCCATCTTCTCCGTACGTAGCTCACAAAGTCCTTAATCTTCTGTAGGAGCGTTCCTTGTGTTTTATCCTTTATAGTATAGACGTGGTTCATGTGGCAATTATCACATAGGAAGTGTAAGGCTTGTGTGCTGCCATCGTATGCCTCTGGCATTTGGATTAGGTCAAGGTGGACCTTCTCATATGGCACTTTTGAGCGTGGTGTAGATCTTCTAGAAAGCTGCCTTGTAGCATGCGTAAGTCGGCATACTTCGCACTGAGTATCGTACGAGTCTAGGTCTGTGACGATAACTCCGGCGGTCTTCTCTTGGAGTTTTCTAATGGCATTTTGGTTTAGGTGTCCCATGCGGTTATGCCATTCCTTTGAAGTGCCTTTTAGGTCCTTACGAGGTCCGTACGAAGATAGGACAACGTTGTCCTGTTGATCCTGAGTGCTATAAACAGCTCGGGTAGGCTCATTTTTGATGTATTCAAGAACCCATTGTCCATGAAGCATTGGAGTATTGCAGAATGGTTGATCTCCGTACGTAAGTCCTTGTGCGGCGGTATTCCAATGAACTCCCTTTTGGATGAATCATCTAAGAGAAGCGACTGAACTGTGGAAGGATGAAACGAGAGCTGTATCTGTAAGGGTGATAGTCCGTAGAGACTTCTTATCCTCCCCGTTTTGGACTGTAATATCTACAGACCCAAACGCTTCAATATTCACCCTTTGGTCTCCAGCTAAGAGGTAGCTATTATCTTGACATTCTTGGATATTGTAGAACCTCGTAAGGTCATTGCAGACGTGAATTGTAGCTCCAGAGTCGAGAATTATGCTTTTAGAGAGCTCATAGGCTGAGGTTTTCAGCTTTAGTCCTTGGGAGACTTGGAAGACTGTAGTGAAAGACATAGGTGGATCTGTATTCATACGGGATTGTACTCCATTCGGGTTGTTAAAATTGTTCTGTTCTTCTGCCTTTTGGATAACGTACTGGAATCCTGGTTTGTCACTTATATAGGCCTCTACTTTAGCTTCAATCTCTTTATTTGGGCGCCATTGCCTCGTACGCTTTGACTTCATCACATAGAGGCAGTCCCGCCACTTGTGTGTTGTTCCGCAAGGGCAGTCTAGTCGAGCCTGATTTTTCTGTTTTCTGCCTCTCTGACCTTGCTGACCTTGTTGTACGTTGTTCGTACGGCCTTGGAGCGTTGGCTGTAGGTCGCTATTGTCATCCTTTTGTAGTGCGAAAACTCCATGTTCCCCCCTAGGTTTCTGGGTGAATCTCTATTGCCTACGGTTGGTTCTATACTGTCGTAGGACCTCCTCAAATTCGTACGACTTTGTCTGCTTCTCTAGCTTGTGTTTCCATGGTCCTCGGAATTCGCAAGGTCCTATTGCATCAAGGAAGGTATAGATAGCGTCGTGAGGGTCAATAACCTCTGTTGCCTGTAGCGTACGGCCTTGAGTGTATAGATTCTCCCAGTTTAGGAGCCAGTCTTCAAGGTCCTTGCCTCTTTGCATTTTCGCAGCCTTTTGCCATTCTAGTCTCCATTCTCCGATTCTAGCTCTTTGAGTAGGTGCGAATCGGTCTCGTAGCTTTCTAAGCATATCGTACGGAGTATCGCAATTGTAGGTATAGGGTAGGAAGTCGCGTTTGATGGTTTCTTGGATCTTAGAGCAAAGCCCCTGAATTGCTTCCTCCTGCTTTTCCCACACCTTGCGCTCATATTGGAAATCAGCTTGTAGGTTTCGAAGCTGTTCCTTCTGATCTTCTGTAAGAGATGCGTACGTAATTGGCGTTAATTGCTGTTGGCCTTCTACTGAAGGTTGGATGGTCTGGCTACCTGAAGCTCTTGTTGACACTCCAGGTCTTGTTTGAGCAGTAACACCACCACCAGCTTGCGTGGCACTCCGTACAAACTCAGGAATAGGTCGAACGGGCTGTAGGAGTGTAGGAGGGTCCTCGATTGATGGATCGATATACCCCCATACTCCTGCCTTCATTGAAGCAGTTTTGATAGTCTCTATCCACTCGTCCCAGTCTCTAGGGCTCGTGGGGACCACCCCAGCCTTCTGTAGGGTCGCCATAATGATGGTTTTTTCGACTCCTAGGAGGGGTATTAGGTCCGTACGGGTTTCTATAGGCTTCAAAATGCGTCTTGGAGTTGCTCCGGGCTCATAACTGTTGAGTAACCTGTGTATTGTTCTGTCTAATTGTAGCTGCCTGAAATTACGGTGAAGTTGAGTTGGGTCACGTGACCGTATTACAACAGATAATCCGTACGGAGATCACATGAGATCATGTGACTATTACAACACACCCCACCCCACATATCCCCATAGGAGCCTCAAATTGTAATATGAGGAACTCGGGAAAAAAAAGGGGTGGTTATACCTGGGCTGGTGATAATAGTATGTGAGTCACGTACGCCTGATGATTCACATCTACGCCTAGTGACTCATTTCCAATCAGAAAACACATTGACCACTTCAGTTCGGATCTTCCGTCTTTCTTCCATCTGCCCCTGCCTACCACACATACCCTATCCTTTCCCACGAATCCCCACACCCCACCATACTTCTCTCTTCTTGTCGGCAAGTCCGTACGAGACAAGATGCCTGCTGTTGGACAGGTCTTTGTGGAAGACCTAAGTGAGGTCTTTGTGGATGCCAACATCCACATTTACCTTCCTCCTGCTGCCCGGGAGTCCCTGCCCCGTCCTCTGCCTATGTTGGCAACTCGGGTTTACACGACTGTCCCGTACGGGACCCCTGGGAATGTTCGCCTTGAACACCTGCAAGAAATTGCAGGGTTCTACATCCAGGCAGCGGGAGAGAATGTCGCTCAGGTCTCCCAGGTGAGATCAATGGGTTGTGAGCAGTGTGATGCTGCGTACGTAGAAGAGGGATCTCGGCAGATTCCCTTCTTTACAGTATGCATATCCTTTGGGAATGTGCAGGGTGGTGCCTTTGCTTCCTGTGTCATGAAACACCAGGCCGCAGCCTGCTCTCTTCATGAGTACTTCCCTTCCCTGTTGACTTATGCACCTTCTAGCATTCTTATGAGTCCGTACGAGCTAACACTTATAGATTCGTCCCAAGATGATCGGGAGCCCACCCCTCCTCTGAAGGATGACACTCCTCGTCCTGGAGAACGTGCTGGGACTCGGGCCCATGCGCGGAAGTTGGCGCTTGAGGCTGCGCAGAGAAATGGTGGTAGGAATGCTGTTTAAGTAGGGATTTGGATGTACGGACTTGTGGTGCTTGGGTTTTTCTTGTATAGATAGACAGAAATGGCAATGGATTTCTTGGTGATTCTTGTGCCATTCTTGTGACAGTTCCGTACGTAAGTGTAAATGTATGAAAAGTCAGGGATTTTCCTGTTTTTATATGGTAAAAGTCAGGGATTTCCCTTGTTACCTCTGATTTCCCCCCTTTTGTTGAAATGGGTTTTCTATTTCAAAAAAAAATATGATGAAATCCGCATGCATAGTGTTGTATCTAGCTCGTACAGATCTATGAAACTGTCGAAAAAGAGTGTATATTTGTTAGGTCCCAAGGTATTCCATTGGGAAAGTTGAAATAAGAACGCATAGTGAAACTGGGTGTAACTGTAGGCGGCTTGGTGATTCTGAGAGTTCTATGTTCATACGGAGCTCATCAGTCTCCTGTTCTTGTATTGCCTCACTTTTCAGTTGGTGAAGTAGAAATCTAGATCTTGTGATCTAGGGGGCTCGTTTCCGAGGTACAAAGGTAGCCACTGCTTCGTACGGAGTTGTGCTCTTAAGTAAGCACTCCTATAGGAGGTGCTTTATGTCCACAAGGTTTAAATGGTTAATAAACTCCTCGTGTCTTTGTCGTGGTAGGGCTTTTGTAAACCCATCTGCTGGCATCTCGTACATAGCTATTCACTTGATATCGCGATTGCGTCTCTCTACCTCCTGTCTTAGCCAGTGGGAGTGAATATCAATATGCTTGAGCTTTGTAACTAGCTTCGGGGACTCTTTGAGTAAGGGCAGTACGGTCTGCATATTGTCACATTGTAGGGTGAACTTCTCATTAAGATCAAGTTTGATAGTTGAGAAAAATTGCTGCCACCAATAGAGCTGTTTTGCACTATGTGATAGAGGTAGAAGCTCAGCTTCTGTAGTTGAGATTGATATGGTTTTCTGCTTTGTACAGCGCCAGTCAATTGCTCCTCCAAAGAGTGTGAAGAGATACCCTTCTGTACTCTTTCTTGTAGCTTCGCAATCTGCGTACAAAGCATCACTAGAGCATTGGAAGCGTGGTGTATTGATCTTTGGTCCATACTGGAGGGCTAGATGTTTCGTCTCCTTTAGATAGAGTATAAGTTGATCCACTGCTGCCATGTGCTCTGGTCTGTCATACTGACATTCGTTGCACTCAGTTTGCTATCAAACTCAAGAGCAAACTTGGAAATCTCCTCCTCAAACCTACAAGTCACTATACATATTCTGGCTTATCACACCAACAACAAGAGCAATACTACTCAATGATTGCTACAACCATCTATGATTCATTACACGTCATCGCTCCTTAGTTACTGGGCTGATATTACCACATAGCATATCTCTACAACCCTCTATGATTCATTACATGACATCACTCATACTACCACATGACATATCTCTACCAACTAGAGGCCTAGGAGCATCAACGATAGCTCTAAAAGCTCCTACAAACCTCTATGATTCATTACACGTCATCGCTCTTTAGTTACCCACAAGATTGGTTAAGTTATGACATAATTTGTCTATGACATAATTTGTCTATAGGGGTACTCTGACCTTGGACCTCCTTTTACTTCCTATAGGCTAGGAACCTAGGATATGGTTCTATGGGATTCTCTTACGTTGACTACAGTTACAAGCCTGGTAAGTCATGGAAAGTCTTGGAAAATGAGAGAACTATACTCCTTTAGCATAAATAGGATTACCCTTTCCTTAAGAAAGGGCAAGCAGACAATACAGTAAATCGACTATCACATACTTCCACGTCTTTTCCAAGCTTCCAAGCATTGATCTTGTTACTCCTTGTTTCTGAAAAGTCAGTGAGGTGTTAACCTCTGACTTACCCCTGAGTTCCCAGACTCAACATTTGTTGCAACTTGTCTGAACCACTTCACTACATCACACACCTGATTGCTGCGTTGTGAAATAGTCTAAGCTACGACCCTTTGGCTCTGTTTTCTAAGACAGTGTGTTGTCTTAGTAAATTCATCCCTTCCTTGGGTGGCTAGATTCTCACATCTGGTGCACCCACCATTACATGGTCCTGGGTTAACAAGGTATTCGGATAGTTTCTGCACTGTACGGGATATATCTGGTCTTGTAACCACTGCAGTGTAGTTGGTAGATCCTACTTTCTGTTGATATAGGTGGATTTGCTGTTTCTCTGCTTGCCCATCGTATGGAGTGAGATTGTCATTAACCATTGGAACCTTAACTGTTTTCGACAATGGCGTTACTCCGTACGTAGTCGTTATTTTGTCGATGTATGAGTTCTGGTATAGCCAGAGTGTTCTCTCTGTCCGGTCTCTTATAATTCTTATTCCTAAGAACCATTCAAGTTCTCCTATTTCGCAGAATTCATAGGCTTCCATGAGTTTCATACGGAACTCTGTTGCTTCTGCCTTATTGTCATACTGACATTCGTTGCACTCAGTTTGCTATCAAACTCAAGAGCAAACTTAGAAATCTCCTCCTCAAACCTACAAGTCACCATACATATCTTGGCTTATCACACCAACAACAGAAGCAATACTACTCAACGATTGCTGCAAACTCTTCTACTACATCTGTTTATGCTACATACATCACGGCATATCATTTGGACACTCATTGAACAAGTTATTAAGAAAATCTCCTCCTTAAGGGGGTGGGTCAATACTACCACATGGCATATCTCTACCAACTAGAGGCCTAGGAACATGAACGATAGCTCTAGAAGCTTCTACAACCCTCTATGATTCATTACACGTCATCGCTCCTTAGTTACCCACAAGATTGGTTAAGTTATGACATAATTTGTCTATAGGTACTCTGACCTTGGACCTCCTTTTCACTTCCTATAGGCTAGGAACCCAAGAGATGGTTCTATGGGATTCTCTTACGTTCACTACATGATTAGCAAGCTAGTTGTGGGTCGCACTTGATTTCTAATACATTTACCAAGCCTGGTTAGTCATGGAAAGTCATGGAAAATGAGAGAACTACACTCCTTTGGCATAAATAGGATTGCCCTTTCCTTAAGAAAGGGCAAGCAGGCAATACAGTAAATCGACTAGCACATACTTCCACGTCTTTTACAAGCTTCCAAGCATTGATCTTGTTATTCTCTGTTTTTGAAAAGTCAGTGAGGTGCTAACCTCTGACTTACCCCTGAGTTCTCAGACTCAACATTTGTTGCAACTTGTCTAAACCACTTCACCACATCATACACCTGATTGCTGCGTTGTGGAATAGTCTAAGCTACAACCCTTTGGCTCTGTTTCCTAAGACAGTGTGTTGTCTTAGTAAATTCATCCCTTCCTTGGGTGGCTAGATTCTCATATCTGGTGCACCCACCATTACACTTATGGTAGGGGTGGCTTAGAATGCAGATATCATCTACATAGAAGAACACAATGATTGTAGATGAGACGAATAGGCACTGGGCTTCTGGGACCTGTACGAGGCCTAGCTTCTTCAGTGTATCTGAAAAGTCGCGGAACCATAGGAGTGGTGACCGTCGGAGTCCATATAAGGCCCTGTTGAGTTTCCAGCATTGTCCTTGCTCCTCAAAACTGTCAGCACACCGTACGTAGAGCTCCTCATCAATTCGGCCATTTCTAAAGGCGTGACTGCATCTAATTGTTCAGTATCCAAATCGAAGTAGGCTGTAATAGCCATTAAAGCTCAAAAGGTCTTTGAAGCAAGTGTTGCTGCGTACGTCTCATCATGTATTGAATAGCTTTGTAGGTCCCCTCTTACAACAAGTCTAGCCTTGTATTTGACAAGGTAGCCATTATCGTCAAATTTGTAGGTAAATACCCACATTAGTGGAATGACAAAACTCCGTACAGTGCTGTCTGGCATCGATTTGAAGGTGTCTTGCTTCCGAAGGTCTATTATTTCCTTTTCTGCTGCAGCTTTGAAACCAAGCCTATGAGGGTGGTTTGAAGCTGGTTCCAATACTTCGGAGCAGCAGGGAGCTCCGTACGATGTATCTTACGTTTCTGGAACTCTGTACCAACGATGAAAGCTTGGTGCTGGCTTATCCTTGCTTCTGGGTGTGCAATGGTTGCAAGGTAGACGTCATGTCTCCGTACACTGTCTTCTGAACACTCTGGTGTCATTTCAGGTGTCTGGAGTTGAGGCTCTTCATGTTGGACCTCTATCTCCTTTTGAGGTTCTACCTCTACTGCTTCCTCTTGTTGAAGAGCTGTATCTGTTGTTTCTGCCTTGTACGTAGTTGATGTTTCTTGTAGAGGTTGTAGAGCTGCGCGCTCCTCTTTATATTTCTCTCCTTCCTTTTCTAAAAGGTCAGGAAGTTCAATACTGTCTTTTGGAGCTCCAATTCTACAACTGTAGCTTCGTACGATGGATCATACACCTTTGTCTCGTCAAAAGTAACGTCCTTGGTTACTATAACCCTCTTAAGATTTGGAACCCATATTCTAAAGATGTTTGTAGAGTTGTAGCCAATAAGATAGCCTATTTGGGCATTCCTATCTATCCTCTTTAGCTTTGGTTGCTTAAGGAGGAGTGTGTAGGCTCTACATCCATAGGCGCGGATATGAGAGAGTAAGGGCTTAGTAAGCTCTGGCTTTTGAAGCTGCGAGGGTAGGGACTGGAGTAGAAGTCCGTACAGAGTCTCATCATTAATGACAGATGATGGAGACCGGTTTATAAGATAACCTGCAGTCTGAAATATTTCAGGCCAAATTCCTTGTGGTAGGTTGCCTGCTTCCTTTAAAGCTCGTGAGCGTGTGATTATCATACGGCCTGAACGTTCGATTCCACCATTTGGTTCGGCAGTGTACGGGGGTGTAAGCTGCACTTTGTATCCTTCATCTGCAATCCATGCATCCCATTCATCTCCAAGTGATCTCTCACCATCAAGGAAGAAGATCTTTACCTTATAACCCCATCGTCTCCATATGTAGCTTACAAAGTCCTTAATTGTTTGTAGGACTGTGCCTTGCCTCTTGTCTTTAATGGTGTAGACATGGTTCATGCGGCAGAAATCACACTGTAAGTGTAGGGCCTGTGTGCTACCATCGTACGCTTCTGGCATCTGGATAAGGTCTAGGTGCACCTTCTCATAAGGGATCTGTGACCGTGGTGTAGATCTTCAGGAGATCCTTTTTGTAGCATGGGTAAGGCGGCAGACTTCGCAGTTAGTGTCGTACGAATCCATGTCTGTGACAATAACCCCCTGGGTCTTCTCTTGGAGCTTCCTTATTGCGTTTTGATTAAGGTGGCCCATTCGATTATGCCACTCCTTTGCAGTGCCTGTTAGGTCTTTGCGAGGTCCGTACGAGGATAGAACAGTATCTTGGTGCACTTGAGTCATTGATAGGGCTGCGTTTTGAAGGACTTTTGTATTGTCATTCTTAATATATTCAAGGACCCATTGTCCATGGATAACTGGAGTGTTGCAGAACGGATTTCCTTCGTAGGTAAGTCCTTCTGTAGCTGTATTCCAATGGACTCCCTTTTGGATGAATCATTTTAAGGACGCAACAGAGGTGTGAAATGAATTTCTTGGAGTGTTATGGTTCGTACGGACTTTGTGTCCTTTCCAACCTGGACTTTGATGTCCACGGACCCAAACCCTTCAATCCTTACTCTCTGGTCTCCAGCTAAGAGGTAGTTTCCGTCCTCACATTCCTTTAGGTTGTAGAACCTCGTACAGTCGTTACAGACATGAATTGTAGCTCCAGAATCAAGGATTGTGCTCCTTGCAAGCTCATACGTTGAGAGGGTAAGACTTTGAGTGACTTGGAAGGCTGTTGCAAAGGAAACAGGTAGATCCTGGTTCGTACGGGGTTGTCCTCTGTTTGCCTTGTCCTGGTCTATTGCCCTTTGAATGCAGTATTGAAAGCCTGGCTTTTCACTTATGTAGGCGTCAACTTTAGCTTCAATGTCTCAGTTTGGCTTCCATGACTTCGTACGCTTCGACTTCATGACATATAAGCAGTCCCTCCACTTATGGATAGAGCCACAAGGGCAATCCGTTCAGGGCTCCTTGTTCTTCTTCCTGTTATTCCAACCCTGTTGTCCTTGTTGTAGGTTGTTCGTACAGTTCTGAAGGGTAGCAGATGTCTCATTATTGCCTTCTTGTGTTGCGAAAACTCCATGTTCCCCCCGAGACTAGTGGTCATATCTTGCCTGTCTCTGGTTGATTCGATAGGTCCGTACGACCTCCTCAAACTCATATTCCTTTGTCCCTTTGTTGAGTTTGAATGTCCATGGGCCTCAAAATTCGCAGGGTCCTATTGCTTTGAGGAAGTAATATATCGCATCGTGAGGGTCGATAACCTCTGATGCTCGGAGTGTACGGCTTGTGTGTAGAGGGTCTCCCATTTTAGGAGCCACTATTCAAGGTCTACTCCTCTTTGTATTTTGGATGCTTTTGCCCACTCTGTAAGGACACAGGGCACCCAGCTCACAGTAATAGCATATGAGAGTGCGAGTCGGAGGCTAAACGGGTGCTATCCTATAGGTCTACTACGAAGGGTACAAAAAAGATGAAGGGGGAACCCCGTTGAGTCTGTTTCCTTGAGTACCCGAAACGGGCCTGACTCAGTTATCCCAACCCTAGCCCTGATCCTTCCACTGCAACAGGTCAGCATTGACCCTGAACCCTACACCCTTACCATCCCCCACTATAGTGTAACTCGCTATGTGCTCCTCTACTGGTTCGAAACCACACCGAGTCGGATTTCATGCTTGTAGTGACCGTAACAGTTCTGAGACAGGTTCTTCGAGTATCTAGGTAAGGAGGCATCCTTACACACTCACTCCTCCATTCCTCAAATCTAGCTCGTGTAGTTGGTGCAAGCCGCTCCTTAAGCCTTACTAGCATTTCGTATGGAGTATCACAATTGTATGTGTATGGTAGTTTCTTGGATCTTAGACCGTAGCCCCTGAATTGCTTCTTCCTGTTTCTCCCATATTTTTCGATCATATTGGAAGTCCGCTTGTAGGTTTCGACGCTCTTCATTCTGGTCGTCTGTGAGAGATCCGTATGTAATTGGTATGATTGGTTAGGAGGCTTTGATTGATGGTTGGGCTGTCTGACTTGATGTTGCTCTTGTTGACACCCGTGGAGTATGTAATGGTGGGTGCACCAGATGTGAGAATCTAGCCACCCAAGGAAGGGATGATTTTATTAAGACAACACACTGTCTTAGGAAACAGAGCCAAAGGGTTGTAGCTTAGACTATTCCACAACGCAGAATCAGGTGTATGATGTAGTGAAGTGGTTTAGACAAGTTGTAACAAATGTTGAGTCTGAGAACTCAGGGGTAAGACAGAGGTTAGCACCTCACTGACTTTTTAGAAACAAAGAATAACAAGATTAATGCTTGGAAGCTTGTAAAAGACGTGGAAGTATGTGCTAGTTGATTTACTGTATTGTCTGCTTGCCCTTTCTTAAGGAAAGGGCAATCCTATTTATGCCAAAGGAGTGTAGTTCTCTCATTTTCCATGACTTTCCATGACTAACCAGGCTTGGTAAATGTATTAGAAATCAAGTGCGACCCACAACTAGCTTGCTAATCATGTAGCGAATGTAAGAGAATCCCATAGAATCTCTTGGGTTTCTAGCCTATAGGAAGTGAAAAGGAGGTCCAAGGTCAAAGTACCTATAGACAAATTATGTCATAACTTAACCAATCTTGTGGGTAACTAAGGAGCGATGACGTGTAATGAATCATAGAGGGTTATAGAAGCTTCTAGAGCTATCGTTCATGTTCCTAGGCCTCTAGTTGGTAGAGATATGCCATGTGGTAGTATTGGCCCACCCCCTTAAGGAGGAGATTTTCTTAATAACTTGTTCAATGAGTGTCCAAATGATACTCCGTGATGTATGTAGCATAAACAGATGTAGTAAAAGAGTTTGCAGCAATCGTTGAGTAGTATTGCTTCTGTTGTTGGTGTGATAAGCCAAGATATGTATGGTGACTTGTAGGTTTGAGGAGGAGATTTCTAAGTTTGCTCTTGAGTTTGATAGCAAACTGAGTGCAACGAATGTCAGTATGACAGAGTAGTCTGAGGGACCACGCCACTACCGGTCTGAGCTGCAGTCCGTACGAAGTTAGGAACTGGCCTAACAGGTGGTACGAGAATAGGGGGGTCATCTAATGCTGGATTAATATAACTCCAAACTCCTGTCTTCATTGAAGCTGTCTTAATCGTCTCTAGCCCCTCATCTCAGTCTTTTGGGTTGGTGAGGACCACCCCCACCTTCTGTAGGGTGGCCATTATGATGGTGATCGACTCCTAGGAGGGGTTTGAGGTCTGTACGATGTTCGAAGACGTTCAAAATGTGAACCTAGATGTGCTCCGGGCTCATAACTGTTGAGTAATAAATGTATGTATTCCTAACTATGTAACCTATACTTGGCTTTACCGATAATCCATACGGAGATCATGTGAGATCATGTGACTATTACAACATATTTCAACTAGTTGAAACCACGTGCTAATTAGCTTAGGATCTTCGCATAAGGCCCTAAAGTCGTAAACATGATTAAAACATGCCTTTAACTATTGTTGACGTTATACAAATCGATGAGCCTTAGGCGGAGGTTTTACATGACATGACATGACATCACCCTGCGGAGTACGAAGCGGGCGGTCATCTAGGCGAGATGCAGCGGGATTCTCGCTTCCCGAGTAATTCTGCAGTAGGGGGGTAGGGGTGCTGTGGGAGGTGCTAGGCTCGTATATTGGCTGCTGTGAGTGGAAGGAAGGAGCGATGGGTGGGGGACTCGGGATATTCGGGAGATTAGGGGTTTGCTCTAAGCGAGGTGAGGGAAGCGGAGATGATGAAGGGATCACTGCACGCCTTGCTATCCGTGCTAACACCCTCTTGTCCTGTGGCTGTGGGAGCGGCGATGGGGGTGGTTATTCGAGTCCTCACACTACCATAGCTGGCGCTGTCTGGGCATGAGCTATATGTCGGCTAGAGTACTGACTGGCTCTACTTTAGCTGGCGATAGTTTAGGCCGGGGCATGTGGCATGGCAAGGCTTGTAGCGCTCCAGTAAGGCTTGTAGCACGCCAGTAGTCGGCTAGAGGTAACTTATAGTCGTTGTCTGTTGTCTGTTGTCTGTCTCCTTTTTTATTTCCTTACAAAATCTGTATCGGGTCACAGCTCTGTTTGAAGCTGAAGTCGGGTTCTGCGGTTGATATCACGGGTATCTGCCGTCGAACGACTCGCTGCGCTTCCCATTACACATATCTATCTACGACCACCCCTTGCGGCAATGGATTGAGCCTCGACCCAACCCGTCGCCACAATGGAGAAAGACTCCCCTCCCACTCCGCCCCACGGCGACACCTCGACCCCTCCCCCCGCCTCCCTCCCCGAAAAAGAGAAAGACCTCGACTCCAACCTCGAGAGTCCATCCCGTAGCACCTCCCACGAAGCCTCGCGCCTCCACCCCATCAGCCTGCCCAACAACGCCCTCCAGCCCATCCAATCCTCTCACAGCGCGCAGCTCTCCCTCTCCTCCGTCGTCCCAGTCGATATCCGTGTCCGCGCTCTCGGCTTAAGCGTCGATACTCACCCGCGCAACCTCCACAGCGCCGATGGGCTCACGAATCTCTTCCGCCCCAAGCCCCTGGCGGAGTTGCGCTGGCGCCCGCTCCTCGATAATGTCAGTGCGGATATGGAGCGGGGCACGCTGACGGCGATTATTGGGGGCAGTGGGAGCGGGAAGACGACGATGCTGAATCTGATGTCGGGGCGGATGGGGGATGGGGGGGGCAGTCTACGCGCGAGGGGCTCGGCAACGTTTAATGGCGGACTGCTTGGGGGTGTGCGGACTGCTTATGTGATGCAACAAGATGTGCTGCTGCCGACACTCACGGTGCGAGAAACGCTACAGTATAGTGCTGACCTGCGGCTGCCGCCACCGACGACAGCGGAGGAGCGGCGGAGAGTGGTGGAGGAGGTTATTCTTGAGCTGGGACTGAAGGAATGCGCGGACACGCGCATTGGGACGCATGTGCATAAGGGGTGCTCGGGCGGGGAGAAGCGGCGCACGAGCATTGGTGTGCAGCTGCTAAGCAACCCGAGCGTGATGTTTCTGGACGAGCCGACTACAGGGCTCGATGCAACGAGCGCATATCAGCTTGTACGCACGCTGCGGGGGCTGGCAGCGAAGGGGCGGACGATTGTGATGACTATTCATCAGCCGCGGTCGGAAATTTATGGAGTGTTTGATAATCTGGCCATCCTGACGAAGGGCTCGCCGGTGTATAGTGGGCCAGCGGATGGGTCATTGCCGTATTTTAAGGAGAAGGGCTACTCACTGCCGCCGTTTGTGAACCCGGCCGAGTTCCTCATCGACCTTGCGGCTGTAGATAACCGGTCTCCAGAGCTGGAGGAAGCGTCGTTGGAAAAGGTGCGTCATTTGAAGGAGGATTGGAATCAGGAGTCGCTACGGAAATGGGGTGATGAACATAGCTCTGGTGGTACAGTTATTGCTCCAGGGAACAGTGATTGTCGGCGCTCAGCATTCTACAGACAATTATTCGTTCTTACAGCGCGGACAACAAAGGTCACCCTGCGAGACCCGATGGAAATGGCTAGCTGCATCATCGAAGCCGTTCTCATGGGCATAATTACTGGCTGGATCTTCCTTTCTCTCGGTGAGGACCAACCAGGGATCCGCTCGCGCGAGGGCGCGCTCTATACCGCTGCCGGACTACAAGGCTACCTAATCCTCATGTACGAGACATACCGTCTCTCGATCGATATCGAGCTCTTCGACCGGGAGCGCGGCGAGGGCGTCGTCGACGTCATCCCCTTCTTGCTCAGCCGGCGCCTCGCGCGCCTTCTCACTGAGGATCTCCCCGTCCCGTTTATCTTCAGCGTGATCTTCTACTTTATGGCCGGTTTCCGCGCCGATGCAGCTCAGTTCTTCATTTTCTTCGCCATTGTCCTACTCAACCACTATATCGCCATCGCCTTTTCCTCCGTCTGCATCTCCATCGATCGGAGCTTCGCTGGCGCCTCACTTATCGGTAACCTGAATTACACCATCCAGAGTCTTGCCTGTGGATACTTCATTCAGAGTAACACCATCCCGGTGTATGTGCGCTGGCTTAAATGGACAAGTTACGTCTACTATGCCTTTGGTGCTCTGTGCGCCAACGAGTTCGTTGGGCACTTTTATGATTGCCCGCTCGAAGGCGGCGAGGCCAACCCGGAGTGCAAGCAGTTTACAGGCGCCTATGTGATGGACTCGCTCGGTTTCCCTCACGATTGGGTATCCACACCCATCCTGGCGCTCCTCGGCTTCGCAATCCTTTTCTATATCCTTGCCGGCCTCGGGCTACGCTACATACCAGTCGAAATGGCAATCGGGCGCGCGCGCAACTCGGATGCAGATTTCTCGTCCGGAAAAGAGAAAATGAGCGTGCGTTCGGTAGAGGAAGTGCGTGCTATCGAGATTGGATTATTGAGCTTCGCTCTCGAGCTCGATAAGCGGACTGCGCTGGGGAAGAAGCTACCGCGGAAGACGATCTTGAATCCCGTGGACGCCACATTCAAGGCCGGCGTGCTGAATGTCATCATGGGCCCGTCAGGGAGCGGGAAGACATCCCTCCTCAACGCCATGGCGCTACGGCTGTTTGACAGGATGGGCACGACCTACCTCCGCAGCGGGTCCATGACCTTCAACGCAGCCGTGCCCTCGAACGCGGTCATTCGCAGTGTCTGCTCCTACGTGTGCCAAGACGACGATGCACTCCTCCCCTCCCTCACCGTTCGCGAAACCCTCCGCTACGCTGCGGTCCTACGTCTCCCCTCCCATATGACGACCGCTGAGAAACACGACCGCGCCGAAGCCATCCTCCTCAAAATGGGCCTCAAAGACTGCGCCGACAATATCGTCGGCTCCGACTTAATCAAGGGCATCAGCGGCGGCGAAAAGCGCCGCGTCACCATCGCAGTCCAGATCCTCACCGACCCGCGCGTTCTCCTCCTGGACGAACCCACCTCGGGCCTCGACGCCTTCACCGCCGCATCCATCATGGACGTCCTCCGCGGCCTAGCGAATGAAGGACGCACACTCATCCTCACTATCCACCAGGCTCGCTCAGACCTCTACGCACACTTCGGGACTGTGCTCCTCCTCGCGCGCGGCGGCGAGCCCTGCTATGCTGGCCCGGGAAGCGGTATGATGGCACACTTCTCGGCGCTGGGGCATCCGTGTCCTGCGCGCACGAACCCGGCGGATTTCGCGCTCGATCTTATTACCGTCGATTTACAGGCCGCAGATAGGGAGGCATCGAGCCGAGATCGCGTCGAGGGGTTGATTGCTGCGTGGGGGGGGGAGAAACCAGCCGTTGTAGCTGCGCCGGCGACGATTGCGACGCCTGCGGAGCTAGGTGCGCTGATGCGAGCTCCGGCGCCATTTCGTACAGCTTACCCGCTCCTCGTGCGGCGGTCACTCGTCAACCTACGCCGTCAGCCTGAGCTACTCATCGCGCGAATCATGCAAGTCGTCGGGGTAGCCATAATCTTCACCCTCTTCTTCGCACCCCTCAAATTCGACTACTTCAGCGTCCAGAACCGCGTCGGTTTCATCCAAGAATTCTGCGCGCTCTACTTCGTCGGCATGCTCCAGAACGTCGCCGTATACCCCGCAGAAAAGGCAGTCTTCTACCGCGAGCATGATGATGGCGTGTATAGCGTTGAGGCGTTCCTGGCGCAGTATACGACGGTCGAGATCCCGTTTGGGATTGTGACGTGTATCGTTTTTGCGGTGTTGGCGGATCTAGCGGGGGGGTTGCCGAGGACGGCGCAGGTGTTTTGGGTGGTGTTTTTTAATTGCTTTTGTATTGTTACTTGTGGGGAGAGTTTGGGGATTGTGGTGAGTTGGATTTTTTTTACGATGTTCTTGTCTCTATTCCTCTCCCTTAGCATCTTATATCTTACCCATGAACTTCCCTTTACCACACCATGCTAACGCACACCCACAGTTCAACACCTTCTTCTCCCACTCCGGCTTCGCCCTCAACCTCACCTCCATCATCCTCTCCATCTCCCTCATCATGTCCGGCATCCTCTCCATCTCCATGCCCGCCTTCCTCCGCGGCGTCAACCACCTCTCCCCCCTCCGCTACGCCATCCGCAACCTCGCGCCGTACACCCTCCGTCCCATCACTCTAACATGCACGGCTGCGCAAGCCCTGCCAGACGGTACCTGCACCGTCCCGGATGGCGAGGCAGTGTTGGCGCTATTTCGCCTGGACGGGAATGAGAGGTTGGAGTTGTTGGGGGTGGCGATTGCGACGGTGCTGTATCGGTTGTTGGCGTGGGCGCTGTTGAGGGGGACGAGGACGCATTGGGGGGATGTTTGGGGGAGGTTGGTGGGGAAGGGGTAGGGGGTCTGGATTGATGATAACTATAGAAATTTTGCTTTGAGCGCTGTGTTAAGCAGGGGTTTGGAATACTACACTCATGCACAGAGGTGAAAATGAGAGGTGATGCAATTATATATGTATATGGCCATGGCTATCAATTTATACCTTACGGGTCATGTTATATCGTTAAATAAATCCATTACAACCGTCCCAAGTCACCTCCAACTCCCTTCCCATCCGAAACTTATCATGGGTATTAATTCGAGCCGACTGGCAACTCAACAGGATCATAAGGCACCGCGTGATTTCCCTTCCCACCAGCCGCATTCGCCTCCAACTCGCGAGCCATACCACTGCCCTCCTTCTCATAGACAGGCCCGGAAGCCACCTCCTGTTCCCGTCTCTTATGGGCGTTGAAGAAGTAGAAATTACAAATCGACGATTCGTTATTGGTAACGGGAGCTTGCGGTTGCGCTTTTGTCTTCGCAGGAAGAGGAGGCCAAAGACGATGATGCAGATAACGGCGATGCCGCCGACGACGCCGCCGACTATGGCGCCTGTGTTATTGGGGCTTGACGATGTGGTTGCTACGGGGGCTGTTGTGGCGCCGGAGTCACTTGCTGAGCTTCCCTTCGAAGGTGTGCTGGGTTTATCCGTGCTCGATGTTGGGTTGGTCGTCAATTGTGAGGGCGAGTCGGCGGTGGATTGCTCCGTGTTCGATGGACTGCGATGGCGATGACATTGTCAGCTGTGATGGTGATTCAGTAGTGGATTTCTCCGCGATCGGGAGGCGCTGTCACCTTTGATGGCGAGCCGGTGGTCTTAGCATTGCCGACTGGACCTGGAGTTGGAGTTGGAGCCGAAGCCTGTGATGCAGCGGTGGTGGCCGGTGCTTGGATCTCCGAGACCGTCTTCATGGCTTTGCTTGTGTCGTATGACTAGGCTGCGCACTACTCGCCCAATACTCGGCTCACTCACTCAGTGGGTTACTCAGCTGGGTGAGTAGCTGAACCTTTCACTCGACTCGGTGAGTGAGGCCAATACTCAGTTACTCTGTAAAAACCCAGTGAGTACTCGGCTGTCACGTGTAAGATATATGCATTACGTGAACAGTCCCTCATACGATTAATACTGTTTTATGGTTACAGTTGTAAGTTAACTTAAAGTATTACATTTATCAGCATCACTCTACCATCTCTAATAAGCTGTGAGAACGAATCACGTATATTCCTCTATCTAAGTACCACGATTATCAGAAGATTATCAGAACACTATATTATATATGCTCAAGAACATCTTTCCACCTTGCTTGATGAGGCCGGCCAGACCTACTAATACCTAAAGTATTTATAGGGTCTTGACGAGTAGCTTGAAAGATATCAAGTAGATCTCTTCCAGTCTTCCGAGGGCGTTGGATAGGCGTTGGTGGCGAGGACGGCATATCCTTATCTTCATCGTCATGAATAGTTGGAAGTATAGGCTCCTCATTATTACCATCTTCTCTTATATCTTCATTATCTGGGATATCGTCATCTGGGATGTCGTATAAGGTCTCGTTAAGACGGTCAGCCCTATCTCTTTCTTCACCTTGTTGGTAGCGCATTTGTCGTTCTTCATGTGCAGCTTGTGATAAGTCTTGCTGTTGCTGTGGCCGCTGAGGATTAAACGGAGGATATTGTACCTTTGAATATGTCTCTCGGATATGTGTATTTGATCGTGGTTCTTCTTCATCGCTGATATATTGTAACTCGATAGAATTGCACATCCGTTGTCGTTGTGCCTCATACTCTTCTTCGACTTGTTCCTCAGTCATATCAACGACGTCCATCATATCTGCAAGCTTGTCACGATGACCTTGACGATTCTTGTATTGTCGAGAGTAATATATAAGCATAATACTCTTAATCGTCTCAGGATTAAGTTGACCACGTCGGTGGCCACATACGTCCCTTGCGGCACTAAAGACTCGCTCAACTCCAGACTCAGCAGCAGGAATACAAAGTATATCACGAGCCATTGCTGATAGACCAGGAAATTGCTCTTCCTTTTGTTGCCAAAATAGCAATATCTTTGTGTAGATATGTGCTATACAAGTTAGAATAAGATTATCAGAAGATTACCAGAAACTTACGAGCATCAAGATAGAGATCAGCCTCATTCACATATTCCTCTCGCTGGCCCCGAGTCCCATTTAATGTCTGACTTTGCTGCAATACTAAGGCTAATGGATCCATATCTGCATCTCGTAATCCTGATTGACTCGCAACTCGCACTGTAGAGTACTGCTCTTTATAAAGAGTCCTAAACTGTTGTTCAAACTCTGTCTCCCAATTTCGTATTGAAAAGTCAAGCTTGCAAACAGCTTTCAGTCATACTCTTCTTAAATGCCTTAAGAAACGCTAGGAGGAAGCCTCTTTTGTAATATGTGAAATCCGAGCTCGCATAAGACCTTTAATCTGCGCACTATATGCCTTTTTTAGGGGCCCAAAACATGTGACATCTAATGGCTAGAGGATGTGCGAGGAGTGCAGAGGAATATAGAGGGTAAGGATACTGTTGTCCTTATAGTATTGCTTAAAATCATCTGAATGGTGACTCCTATCTAAAATTAAGAGCCAATAGACTCCACTTGTTAAGTGTTTAGTATGCTTATCGAAGTGCTTAACCTAATCAGCAGTAAGCTCATTTGTAGTCCATCCATTACTGCTTATAGCAATCTTCCAATCCTGTAGTAGCAGGCTGTTTTCGTACCAAGAAGAGAGGTTGTATTTGCCTTTAAAGATGATATATGGCGGTACTGTCCAACCCTGCGAATTTATGCCTTGAATTGCTATAGCCCATTCTCGATTTCTAGGCTGAGCTAATTTAGGCCTCCCTTTTTGATTAGAGCTTGTAATGACTATCGACGGTGTAATTTAGCCCATCATGAAGCCAGTCTCATCAAAGTTGTAGATATCTACATCAATGACTCCATACTTTGCAATTGTGGTGCGAATAAGGTCAAACCAGTCTTGAACAAGCTTTGGGTCTTCGACAAAGCTCGAGAATAGTTGTATTTACAACTAAATACGCTTTTAAGCTGTGGTTGTCGCCAAACAAAGTTTGTTGCCTAGTTCTTACTAACGCATAACGCGTCGCGGTCATGTAATAATCGATTTACCATATCTTCCACAGCACTTAACCTAGGAGAAAATGCTTGAGAATCTAATCGGGGGGGGAAGCGGTTTGCGCCACCTCGAAGCGAGAGGAAGCAGTTTGCGCCACCTCAAAATTGCAACTGCAAGTACCTAGCCATAGTAATTTGTATGTAAAGGTACTTAAAAATTCAATTCTATGAAATTATCACTTCTTCATTCCCACTCTCACTCCCACTCCAACGCCCACTCCAACGCCCACTCCCACGCCCACCCTCACTCGCACTCTCATATTCGCTCCCAGAATCAGCTTCTGGGTCAGTAATTGGGTCCTGCAACTCCGGAGGAATTGGGAAGCCCGATTGGGTGAGCTGAGCCACACTTTTCTTCCGGAGGCGCTCCTGTTTCCGGGCTTCAATTCCTGCCCGGCGGAGCTGCTTCTGGGCTCGCTTTGCAGCCTGGCTCAGCTTCCGGGCTTCGGCCGTAGCGAGCTTCTGGGCTCAGTTTGCAGCCTGGCTTAGCTTCCGGGCTTCGGCCGCAGCGAGCTTCTGGGCCTGAAGCTCGGCTTTCTGCTTCTGAAGCTCGTGGGCTTCAGAAGCCCGGAGCTCACCTCCACACTGGAGTCGGCCCTGAGCCTGCTTTGTCTTGGAGCTCTTAACCTGCTGGCGAATAGCCCGTAGGTCGAGCTCCTGGAGCTGGCCGGCAGCTAGAACCTGGGAGGCCCCAGTAACCCAGTTACTGTAGCTCTGCCGCGAGGGGCTACTGAAGGCCTCCGGAAGCCAGTCTTTCCAGCGTTGTAGGCCCTGTTCTACGCCCTGGAACATAGCGGGTATAGGGGTAATAGGGCGTGGTAGGGTAGGTGTTGTAGGCTCTATAGGCGTAGGCGTAGGCTGCGAGTACGTACACAGCTTCTCAAGGGCTGTATTACAGCTTATGGGCCAGATTCCAGCTTTCCGGAATGCTGATTGTATGGTGGCCTCCTTAAAAGTCTGCTCCCGCATATGTGGGAGATCCCTCATAAATAGGGGTAGGTTGTAGGTAATATCCACCTCTCGTATGGCACGGAGCACGGATTGCCTATGCCAGTGCTTATAAGGCTGGAATATTCCCATGTCTAATGGCTGTAAAACGTGTGTAAGGTGGCTGGGAAACGCCCATACGATGATGTGATATTTAGTAGCCATAATGATAAAATCAGGGCTCGTATGGCTCACATGAGAATCGAGTAGTAGAACCTTAGGATTTCCCGGGTCGTGTGGAGCTGTAAGCTCTACGAAGTGCTGTAGCCACCGTATAGCAAGCTGGCTATTAGAATAGCCAGTCTCCGAGAGTAGTATCAGCTCATTCTCATCAAGGTTTTGAGGGTACCACGCCTCCATATGAATTTTACCCGGTACAACAAGTACAGGTGCAATCTTCTGTCCAACTGCAGATACTGCCTCTATAATCGTAATAGATATACGATTCTCAGGGCTTGGAGTGTAGAGCTGCTTTACAGCTCGGGGGACCATAACTCTCTCACCTCCTGGAATTCTGATCCTAAAACCAGTTTCGTCCATATTCCAGATTGACTCTGGTTTTATACCACGCTGTAGTACTAATGCTGTGTACTCTTGAAACCACTTAATAACAGTAGGCTCCTGTTGAGCTTTCGTACGCTGTTGTGCAATAGGCTTTGTAGTAACAAAGTGAAACTCTATAAGCTCATTCCGTATATATTTAGTGAGCCAGCTCTGTGACGGTGGAGGCAGTGGGCTCCGTAGGTGGCATACTGCCCCGTAAACCATATGCCTATTAGCCCCTAATCCTAGGTGATACTGCTCTAGAATCCAGGCCTTTAGGGCTTCTGTTTGAGCTGTAGAAAGCACCCTATTCTGACCCCCATTTTGGGTAGTTCTGGTGGTTCTAGTGGTTCTTGTGCGGCTGATTTTTGACCGTATAGTCGACCTTGGGATCTTAAAAATCCGACTTGCAACAGCTACAGATTCAGAGGGATTTGCTGCAAGCCATTCACAGGCATCTGATAGAGAAGTCCCTTCCATTAAATGAATTACATTTAATTACTATATAAATTACTATGGGGGGGAATGCCGAAGGTTTTGGTAAGGAGTAGCGGTGAACGTATGCAAGTTGAGGTGGCGCAAACCGCTTCCTCTCGCTTCGAGGTGGCGCAAACCGCTTCCCCCCCCGATTAGTGCACGATCGCTTTCGCAGTGCCGATCGCTTTCGCCAACCGCCTCTAGGCGGTGGTTTGCAAACCAACGATTATTGTCTTCTCGTGTAGTGAATCATTCCGCATCGTCGCTGTTTTCTATATCTCACTCTTCTGTATCTGCTATCATTTTTCAATAATGCCTTGTGCCAACGAAATGTTTGTCAATTCCAAAGCTCGGACATGGACATGCTCCTCTACTATCGATGTCGAAATCGATAAGTTCCACCGCAGCCTGCCAGGCTATTCACAGACCCCTCTTCTTGACTGTAGCTCAATTGCAGCAGAGTTAGGCTTGAAGAACGTCTTTCTCAAAGATGAATCAGCCCGTATGGGCCTTCCGGCGTTTAAAATCCTAGGCGCATCTTGGGCAACATACAAGGCCATTACAAAGCTACTTCAGCTTCCGCCAACGGTCAATATCCAAATCGTCATGGATGGTATTGCTCGGACACATCAAGGCTTGACTCTCTTTGCAGCAACTGAGGGAAATCATGGTCGGGCAGTGGCTAAAATGGCAACGCTGCTGGGAATAGAATCACAAATCTTTGTTCCCCAGTATCTGAACAAGTCGACGCGCAATTTGATTGAGAAGGAGGGGGCCTGCGTAGTGGAAGTTCTAGGAGACTATAACGAGGCTGTTATCAGGGCAAAAACCACTGCACATGTGCTTGGAATCAATGGGTTGTTGATCCAGGATACTGCATTTGACGGCTATGAAGATATCCCGCAGGTACAGTGCCCCCTGAATTGCCCCTTCTCAAGTCAAAGCCAACTAAACTTTCCCAGTGGATCGTAGATGGTTATTCGACAATGATGCACGAAGCCGACTCGCAGATCTACAACATCACACAAGCTCGACCAGATGTTATCGTGGTGCCTGTTGGCGTTGGTTCTCTAGCTCAATCGGTCGTTACCCACTGCAAGTCACAAGGCCAGTCTTGCACCATTATAACAGTCGAGCCAGAATCAGCAAATTGTCTACAGATGAGCCTGAAGTCTGGCAAATTAACCTCGGTCTCGACTAAAGATACGATCATGTGTGGTCTGAACTGTGGCACTGTGTCTTCAATCGCTTGGCCTATCCTTCATAAAGGGGTCGATGTGAGCGTTTGCGTCGCAGATGTTGAAGTTCATGAGTCTCTTATCCAGCTTAAAGAATGTCAAGCAGTGATAGGGCCATGTGCCTCAGCTACTTTGGCGGCATTGAAGAAAGTAGTCGAAGGGTCCACAGTGCCTGGATTGGACAAGGACGCCGTCGTGTTGCTTCTTGGTACAGAGGGTATGCGAGACTACGAAGTTCCAACTCACTGAAAATTATTAAATCAAATGCTTGATTACTACCAAGCCTCTCTCTCCTCGTTAGCCGGGGATTTACATGTCTATAATTCTAGAGGTGATAGCCAAATTGAAAGCAGGGGGCTTATACGAATGTCAAGATTATAATTTTGATCCACGTACGCAAGCGCTACATAAATAGATTATCGTATTAAGAAAGCGAATTTAATATCAATACATCATTAAGACTTTGTATGCCTGCAAAAAACTATTATATACCAGTGTTTGTTGCTATAATAGACATGGGGTTGTGCTATACCACCTTTAAGATCAGCTTTTTGCACGAATGTGTCCAAGTCCAGCCTCAGACATAAACGGGTCAGTCACTCAAACACTCGCGCACTCATCAAACAAGAATAATAGCTGAAAATCAGATCTGCCGCTCGCTCGCTCATTGTATTCATCCACTCCCCTCGCTATCTCATTTCATCATACAATCCCACTAGCCCTCATCCTCGCCGTGAGGCACCTCTCATCTCCTCTCCCCTCGTTGCCATTTTTATATCCACTCCGCCGCCCCCCGCCCGCCGTTCCAGCCCCAGTCCCAGCCCATCCCTAGTACCCCCCTCCCCTCCCTTCCATCTTATGACGACAAACTCGGCGCTGTTAACAGGCACGAGTAAGTAGCTAGACTTAGCCGTATCCATTAAAAGCGCCAAGGTTCCCCAACCAGATGGAAGGGAGGGGTAAAAACTATAATAATAATAATAATAATAAAAACCATTTCACGAACAGCCGCCTCCGAGCCCGTCGCTGTGCGACCGGCCTGGATACCGTTTTGATAAATGGATAAAAAACAATGCACACTAAGCAGGAGGACAATAAAATAGGTTGAGGGGTTGTAGCCCCTCAGATTTGCCGCTCGGGGCGGGGAATGTGCGAGGGGTTGTTGGTGTGTGGATAGATAGGATGTGGATGTTGATAATGTAGATGTAGGTGTAGGTGTGAACGCCGATCCACTTTTCCCCACCTGCCCGAACGCTGTGAGATGTGATTTGACAGTGAGCACCGTGATATAGCAGTGGTGTACCGGATGACGTATCGCGACAGTGGTATGCCAATGTGGCATTCAGGGGGTGGCGTCTTGTATACGCGCCGTCGTCGTGGGCGGCGCCTTTGAGTAACCAATCCAGCACGCCAGGACAGGGGAGTCGGTTCTACCATCCGCTTCGAGTCCGTTAATACGCGCGTCACGCTCCAGCCGTAGCATTCGCAACTCCGGAATACCCCATTCCGTCAAGCTCCCGCGCCTGCTCCTCCAAATATACTCCCTCTCCGCTCACGTAGCCAAAAAGTCCATCCCCATATCACTCGCAATGCCCTGCCAATCCCAACTCCTCTCATCCCTCTTATCCATATACCTCCACACCTCCTCCAGCACCTCCAGCGCGCGATCCGCATTCCGTAACGTCGTATACGCCTTAATCCGCCTAATACTCTCTCTTATCGGTATCCTCTGCTCCGGCTCAAACGCCGCGCAGCCAATAGTAAACGTCGGTGTCAGCAACACAGTCTGGCACGGGTCGTTCGCGGGAATCAGCCGTAGAAGCTCCAGCGCGCCGTTAACAGCAGACGTGATCTTGGTGTCGGGCACCCAGCGCGTCGCTTTCGGAGGGTAGATGCTACGCCACAAGTACACCCAGAGCATCTGCTTATACAGCAGGCCGGCGACATGTCGGACCTCGCCGACTGGCCATGCGGACTGCCAGGCACGGATGGAGGCGTCGATCTGGGAGGCGCGGTAGAGGGCGTTATAGTCGACAATCGGGTCGATGTCTGATTCGATGTTGATGCGGATTTTGTTGCGGAGCCTCGTTATCGAGGACATGAAGTAGAAGAGGTTATCCTGGACGCCCATGAGGCACTCCGCTTCGGGCTGGAAGAGAGCGGGAGGGAGGGAGAAGAAGGAGTCGTCGTCGGGGGTCGGGGAGGAGGTGAAGGAGGGGGGTAGGGAGGCAGGGCGGTGGACAAGCTCGTCGACCGATATGTGGAATTGGAAGTACTCCTTGATGAAATCCATGAACCGGGAGTCTTCGGGGGGTGTCTCGCGGATGAGCTTCTGGTAGGCTTGTAGGTGCACGCGGTGCTCTCCTGTCGTCTTGCCCTCTGTTAGGCTCTTGACGACGAAGCAGAGCATTTGACCGTAGCGAACGGAGAGGACGACGTTCTCTGTCGTGCCGGGGTTCTGCCGCTCGATGTCGAGGACAAACTCCTTGACGGCCTCTTCCTGGTGGAATAACGCGCGCTCGCAGAGGCTATTTTCTGTGACGTCCGGGTGCTTGGCCAGGATCGCGCGCCCGTATTCGCTTTGGTAGTCGAGGTTGCTACTCGATAGAGATAGGATCGAGTGCATCAGCCCGAGGTGCTTGACGGCCATCGGAAGCAGCATGTCCTTGAAGGCATTCTTCTGCGGGCCCTCAACCGTCAATACTGCGCTAAGACGGAACACGTAGTGCTCGAAGAAGATGCGGTCGCCGGCCGTGTCGACGCCGTGGATCACAGGTTGGAGTTGGATGTTGGGGATGCACACGCGGCTGAGCTGCGCGGTCGACTGGGCAAGCACGGAGGTCGAGATATCCTTTGACCAGGCGGCTGTGCCTTCCTCTGCCTTCTCCTTGCCCGACTTCCAGATGGCCGGCTCTGGGTAGCCTTCGCACACCACGGCGTTCTTCTCGCAATTATTGCCTGTAGGGTGTTAGTTACTCTCAATAACCTAGGTGGCTACCAAAGCCACAGCGATTATCAGGGAACAACATACATCTCGGCTTCGCCTCGTCACACTTCTTCTTCCGTTTCCGGCATGTAATACACCCCGTCTTCGACCTCCCCTTCGTAATTCTATTGATCGACTCCGGCACAATCGGATGTTTCCGCGGCCTCCCCCTCGGCCTCTTCGCTGCCACTGGCAACATCAATTCCATCGACCGCCGATGGTTCTCAATTAGCGCCAACGCTGCATCGTCCCCTGGCGACTCGACCTTCGGCTCAATTAACTCGTCAAACTCCTCCTCGGGTATAACATGTCCACACGCATCCACCTTTCTCTTCACCCCCCTCTGCTCCTCCCACGAGCACGACGGCGTCGCAGAACCTACCTCCTCCTCCTGCCTATTATCCGCCACCCTCCCCACCGCACTTGTCGTAATCACCCCCGCATTCACCACCCCCAGCATCCTCCTCCTCTGCCCAATCGTCCTTCTAATCCGCGATATATGCGCGAAATCCTTCCAATCGCCTACCCGCCGTATATCTCCCCGCAACGGCTGCGCCTCGTCGTCCGCCACCTCAAGCGGCGCCGCGTGCTCGAATGTCCCGCTATTGATGTGCGCGTGTCGTCCGCGCGCATCCATGCTCCGCTTCTCTTCGTCCCCGTTGCGCGGCCGAGGAGGGGCGCGCGGTCGTAGGCATCGGAGGGTGGTGAGTGAGGGCGGCTTTGGTGGTCGGGAGCTGGAGCGCGGGAACTCGGTATGGAGTTGAGCTGGTTGGGTGGTCAGCTATCTGTTCTGTACTCTCTTCACTCTTCGATATCGCCGTCCGGGGAACAAACAACAAGGCACGACACAACACAACACAACACAACACAACACAACACAACACAACACAACACAACACAACACAACACAACACAACACAACACAACACAACACAACACAACACAACACAACGTCAACACTCAAACGATAACGGCGGCGGTAGTACACGTAGTTTGAGGAAGCTCGATCTTTAAGAGATTCAAGCGGAGGAGCGAGCGAGTGGAGATGGATGGCGTAATATTTAGCTCCTTGGGGTGTGAGTCCGCTTTTCGTACGTGGAAGTGAGGAAGTGAGGAAGGAAGGACCAGGGGACGGGTAGAACAGACGTTATGTAAGAGTATATGCCATTCACTCTATACTGGCTAATTCGTGCGGTGTCAGTTCACCCGTCGCCGCGGTAAAGTACGGTCCGCCGTCCCGCCGTCCCGCCCATACCCACTAATCCCCTTCCTTCCCTTCCACTCCATCCCCATCGCGCTTGTATCAAACGCCCCGTCCCTCCAGCCGCGAATAGTGTCGGATATTCCCTATATTGTATTTGCGGGCTGGGCGCCCAGACTGCGCCCAGAGCGTGGACCATCGAGTCGCTGGAATGGGCGCCGTGCATGGGATAATCCAAGCGGGGACTTTGTTAGGGAGAGGGGGAGGAGGGTATTGGATGGACCGCCAGCACCAACAACCAGTAGCGCGCGATATTACCCAGCATCGCGCACGCTCCTAGATGCGCTCCAATGGCCACCATGCGTTCCGCTGTGGTGCTCCATAATGCGGGCACCATAGATATGTAGGAGTGCTTGGTCCCCCCCTATTCGCCAAGAACCCTCCCCGTCCTTCCTAGGCCGGTCTGTCCACGAAAGAGTAAAGGAAAGAACACCCGCCGCGCCCACCCATGCACACCTCCTCTAGCACAACCCCACCGTACCCCCCCTCCACGTGGTTGGCCGCCTCTTCGGGTCCTACGCCGCCTCTTTCACCCTTCCCCGCACGCCGCGCCGTCTACCAAGGGTTTTAGGGGGCGATCGAGACCGCGCCGTGGCGTCCATGGCGTTGTTGGATGTATACACAGTAAGACCTCGCGTGTGCGTTGCAAGCGAGGTGTTGGTTGTCATGTTATATTGGTGTTGGCGTTTCAGCTCATGTCGGTTTCTGCAGGTTGGTAACTGAGACCTCCGAGATCTCCGCCGTCGCTGCATGTTTGGTTGCTGGCCCATTGTGTTCCTCCACCGCCCAGCACGCCCAAGACTTAACGTAGGTCATGGCGTAATGTGTCTAATGGCGTTGTAACGATTCTTACAAGGGTCTGGTATTCATGGGGTGATTGATGATTCCTTGTCCAACGATCTACTCCGAAGACCAGCAAACCGCTCTAGCAACCCCAGAATCATGAAACGGGCCAAATTGATAAAGTGATTCATAGTAGAGTAGAATAGCTATAGAATAGACTTAATAGATTAGTAATGAACTAATAATATATATATTTACACTATAACGTACATGTATAGCGAAAGCGCCAAACAAGCGAAAGCGCCAAAATTATCTACCCTCACGACAAACATTGCGATAAATCTACCACAACATTAGAAATCAATTGAAACTACTCGGAGTCCTCTTCCTCAGAGGTGTCTATTACAATCTGACATGTGCGCGCATTGTGCCCAGTCTCACCACACTTGCCACAGCGACGGGCACGGGTTTCTTCCCTTGGCTTCCGACCACGGCTTGCCCTTATTTCCTGCTCTACCTGCTGCACAACATCCCTCTCATCCTGTAGCTCTTGCGCCCCTTGTTGACTAAGTGATCCTCCTTGCTGTAGTCGTGTTTTCCTAGCTCTCCGGCGCTTGCTTAGTACTTCATTTGCCTGTCGTAGGTTTTGGTTCTCTCCCTTTAGCAGTGCTAATTGATGCATTATTTGCGATGCACCCTTTGTAAACTGGTCAACAGCTGCATAGATTGAGGTTGGAGAGCTATTTTGATGGCGTGAAATCCGAGTTTTAATAAATGTAGACTGTGACATAGCTTCAATTGGGTTGTTTGGTGTCTGAGAAACCCAAGGTTGAGCAGTACCTGGGCGGGAGCTTGGAGGCGTTGGTGTCCTTAACTTAAGATCAAGTGTAGATATCACTCTCTCAGGGTCAAATGGAAGAAGCCCTGCCCCTCGGAACCCGCCTCAAATGTTACTTTCTGTCATTGTAGTGTTAAATGCAGCGTGGAAGGCAGGAAAGAAGTCATCCTTTGTAATATGAGAAATATGAGCCTGCATCATATCTTCAATTTGCCGACCATAGGCCTGCTTTAACGGGCCAAAACAGCCAACATCAAGTGGCTGGAGTAGATGAGAAGAGTGAGCAGGCATACAAAGCGTAATAATGTTGTGTTCCTTGCAGTACTCCTCAAACTCATCTGAGTGGTGGCTCTCATGACCATCAAGGACTAACAAGCGATAACCACCAACACTCCGGGCCTTTGTATGCTTCTCAAAGTGCTGAATCCAATCCATGCCTCTCTCGTTTGTAGTCCAGCCATTTTCAGTAACAGAAATCACCCAATCGCTTGAAAATCCACTATTCTCATACCAAGATGTAAGGTGGTTTTTGCCTGCAACAATGATAAATGGTGGTACTGCCCAACCTTGAGAACTAACGCCTTGGATTACTGTAACCCATTCCCGATTACCAGGCTGTACCTTCTTTGCTTTTGCCCGCCCGTCTGAGCTTGTTACAACCATAGCAGTTGAGATAACGCCCATCATAAACCCAGTCTCATCAAAGTTGTAGATATCTGCTTCATCGATACCATATTTCGCAATTGTGTTACGCACAAGCTCAAACCAGCCATTAATAACTTCTGGATCTTCGCACTTAGCCCTCTGGTAGTCGTATTTGCGCTGAAAGCGTGTCTGGAGCTCTACACGCCGCTTAACAAAGTTTGAAGCCCAACGCGACCCAACGCGTGACGCGTCGCGTGTTGCAAGTAGTCGACTTGCCATATCTTCAACAACAGACAGCCGAGGAGGAAACCCTTTGGCAGCTAGGTCGAGTATATACTGAACAAGGACGGACTCCTCTAGGTTAGTTAATTTCCGTGAGTTGGCTTGGATATCGCGTCGTGAAGGTACACCTTCTAGACGACGACCTAGCTTGCGGTGGTCCACAGAATAGATCCTAGCAGCAACTCGAAGGCGTAACTTTGGGTCGCTTTGCATAGCCTGGATAGCTAGCACTAATTGGCTTTCATCGTTTTTATGGGGCATGTTTTGTTGTTGAGGAATTTAACATTTAGTTGGGGGGTTTGGTCACCGCATCATTTTGGCGCTTTCGCTTGTTTGGCGCTTTCGCTATACATGTACGTTAGTTATAGTAATTAGATCTAATGTCTAATACCAAAGACTTGGAACTGATTACTATTGCTGCTTATGCTACTGTTCTGTAAGGACACAGGGCACCCAGCTCACAGTAATAGCATATGAGAGTGCGAGTCAGAGGCTAAACGGATGCTATCCTATAGGTCTACTACGAAGGATACAAAAAAGATGATGGGGGAACCCCGTGAGTCGATTGTCTCAAGTACCCGAAACCCATCCGACTCGGTTCCGACTCGGTTAGCCCACCCAAATGATCACACGTGACCCCGCAGCTACCCAGAGTCTACTCCCTAGAATGAGAGACGAGAAGGCATCCTTACATGTTCTGGTTATTTAGCGTAATCGCTGTCGTCGATATCATCAGTGGCTCTTACAATAGTTATATACAACTCAACGCCCCTACACCCAACTTACTTACGGGTATGATAAGTTCAACTAGAGCTTATGGGCCTAGGGTAGCCATACTCCTAGATGTGTAGCTTATAAATTCTGGTAGGCTCTCAGGTTATAACTCTATATAGTTCTTATTACTCACAGTCAACAGGTTTTCCATTAATGAAATAGCTCAGCTTATGCCACTGATAAAGCTTCATACAATAGTCTAGAGCAGGCGGGTAAATCTAGACCTAGACACTGCTCTTTGCATAGTCTTGGCCTATCTTGTGTATCTAGGGTGTTAGACAACCTACATTGACCTTTTTAGACAGTCTTAGGCATGGCTTTTAGTAGACTTTAACGACGTAATGGGTCACTTGGTACATGAATTTGAAGGATTACTAGAATGGCACCCATACCTTACATACAACAAGCTACTAAGCTTTAAAGAGGTTATAGCAGACAGCGGTGGCTGTAGCTAAGTATAGGGGTTTGTTGATGGTACATTCCAAGGGTTTTGCCAACTAGCAGGATGTTACGGCTACAGTAACATGACATCATGGTTACAGGACCAGGGCCTAGTAACGTGACGTGTGAGTCACAGGGGGCAAGCAGGGTAGGCTGCCATGTGACGGGGCTAATGGATAGTTGCAGAAACTAGTGGATATTGGATAGTTGAGCTATCCACGAACTATCCTGAATATCTAGCTATCCGCCAACTATCCAGATTACCCATGAGGCATGACGCCACTATATAAGTAGGTAGTATTTCCTTAGATAGGAGCTTCATGCTCAACTCAATATAGTATTCTCTACAATACTGTAACATGTTACTTGGAAAGCCTTTGTGTCTAATCCCCTGCCTCCTCTATCAAGTCAACCTTACACAAGAAACCTCTGTGTCTTCTATCGTTTAGAAGTCAGCATTACACAGGAGACTCAGAAGTCTAGCGGCTATGGTATTCTGGATATAAGAAGAAGCACGGAATGCACTATTAGGTTATTGTAACCCCTAATGGGCTTGTATCATCCTTAATTAGGCCATATAATGGACCAGCTAACAACTGGTGTATTTAGGGGGA